CTATGTTAACCAACATCAGTAAGTATTTGCCATGTTGTTGTTGTATTAAGCGCCGTAGAGTTGGTTCCAACTCATAGTGACCCAATATAGGCTTTGAATCTTCATGGGACCACAAAGCCTCATTTTCCTCCTATGGCGCTACTGGCAGGCTTGAACCTCAGACCTTGTGGCTCGCAGTCCAGGGCTTATAGTATGGAGTCACCACATTCCCATTTTGCCCATCGAATCCAACAATATTGTTCTAATTTCGCTGTCATATTCGATGGACAGTTTTTCTGGATATATGATTAATGTTTGGCAGTTTTTTTCTTTCAAAGTTTTATATATAGGTTTCCCCGTTGCCTTCTTACCTGCCTGGTTTCTGGTGAGAAATCAGAGCTTAATCTTGTAGGTTTTCCTTGGTAACATTTCATTTTCCCTGAGTTGTTTTCAGGAGGACTCTTTCGTTATATTTGATTTTGGAGACTTTGATTATGATATGTCTTGGTGACTTTCTTTTGGGGTCTATCCTGTTTGGGGTTTGTTTCGAGTCTTGAATGCTTTTCTTCTCATCTTTCATGAAGTTAGGGAGATGGTCTTCCATCAGCTCTTTGACTATATCTTCTGTTCTTTTCTTTGTCTCTTCCTGTTCTGGAAATCACCCATAGATTATTCCTCTTCATGTTGTCCCACACGAATCTTAAGCTTGCTTCTGATTTTTTCATTTTGTTTTCTGATTGTCCTTCTAGATTACTAATATTGAGAAATGTATCTTCAAGCTCACTAACTCTGGCTTCCATTGATTCAAATATATTCCTGTGCTCTCTCATGTATTGTCCGTTTCTGATATCTTACTATTAATCTTCTGGATTTCTGTTTGCAGTCTTTGTACTCTGTCCATATTTGTTTGATTGTTCCTGAAGTGCTTTTCTGAACTCTTTCTTGTTTTCCTCAACCTGTCTGTCAGTCGTTGGTGGTGGTAGTGGTGGTGTGCGGTGAAGTCAGTTGCGACTCACAGCAACCCTGCATAGGGTTTCTGAGGCTGTAAATCTTGATGAGAGCAGAAAGCCTCATCTTTCTCTCACAGAACTACTGGTAGCTTTGAACTGCTGACCTTGAGGTTAGCAGCCCGACTCATAACCACTACGTTACCATAGGTCCTTTGTCAATCAATCCTTAGGAGGTACCTAAATATCATTCTTCTGAATTCTTTTCAGGCAGGCCCAGTGCTTCTTTTTCTTGAAAACATTTTCTAGCTCTGTCTCTTGGTCATTTGTTTGAGCTATTCTGTCTTGTTTCTTCATGTGAACAGAAACTATCTGTTGCTTTCAAGGCATTGTGGTGATGTTGTATTTGTATTAAGTTGATGAATGGATGTTGGTATATTCTTAGGCACTCATCAACTGTCTCCTGGTGGGTGCGATTAGGAGATGAGTTTGTGTGCAGTTCACTGTTCATGCAACAACATTGGTTGTTGTGGATCTGGTGCATAGCAACTGGTGTCAACTCTCGCCCGATTGGTGGGGTTGTAGAGGGTATGGCTGTGAGTGAGCCATTTGGATGAGGCAAGAAGAGAAATCACACACAAAAGAGAGGAGGAAAACCAACACGCCAGCAAATAAAAGTAAAAAAGATAAAATAGCAGTGAAGAAAGAAGGAGAGAAAACTCAAAGACAAAACCAAAACGTAGCTATAGCTTTCTCTCCACCAATACCGGCCTCTTGCCTTCACAGCCACCCGAGAAAGTTCAAAATGGTCTTGCTGCATTTGTCCAGCCAGCACAGATGAACAGTCTTTCTTGTCTTCTTCTTTTTTTTTTCTTTCCCCTCTTCTCTACCTTACGCATCTGTTCAGCCACTTCCCCTAGTGAGAGTTAGTTTGCGACTGGCCATAGCCGATTCTGAAGATTTGGAGCAGGCCGGCCCAAGCGGGGTTATTAGATATAGCTCTTTCCCCCTTCATTGGGGCTCACAAATATTGACATTCACCTCAGAGTGGCTCCAACCACTTGGAAAGTGAGAACTTCTTTGAGGGGTACAGTGCCGGAGGTTGGCCTCACCTCTTGTCCCCAGGGGAGTGTGGGAAACCTGGGGGAAAACTGTACCTTTGTCTGTAAGGCAAAGGTAGGTTTCTGCAACACAAATATGTTTTCTTGTCTCCGAAGTCGCTCTTCTTCTTCTAGTTTTTTCTTAAATCCTCTAAAGTTTTTTCTGTGTTCTCTTTACTTTCGTCAATCTTTCTATCAATCCATTGAAGGTACACATATCATCCTTTTGAATTCTTTCTCAGGTCGTTCTATTCCCTTTTCTTCTTCAGAAAGGTTTCTTGACTCTATATCTTAGTCTCTTGTTTCTTCATGTGAACTAAAATCTTCGGTTGTCTCTGAGACATTTTGGTGGTGTTGTATTTGTGTTTAATTGATGATTGTATGTTGGTATATTCTTAGGTTCTCACCAACTGTCTCCTGTGGTTGTAGTTAAGAGAATGGAAGTGTGCATTAAAGTGTTCTCGAAATTAATCTTTCATGCAGTCCTGTTTAAGGTGGCTTGGGCTGGCATGGGCTTCTGTCTATTATATTGTTGGTCAGGAGGTATAGGAGTTGGTATTGGCTCTTGCCCAGTGGGTAAAGCTGCAGAGGGTATGGTGATGGCTAGGCTGTATGGGCACTGTTGTCTTTCATGCAAATCTGCTCTGCCAGCCTTCTGTCTCTGAAACTGCAAAAGTTCAACATGACTTGCTGCATCTCACCAGCCAACCATTCACCAATCCGTCTTCCTTTTTCACTGCCCAGTCTCCTTCTTTGGCTGCTCCTGATTAGCTTCTCCTCCCAGTCAGTACTCAATCTACTTTCTAAACCTTTCCTCTAAAGCTCGGGGCTCCAGGATTATCATCTTTGTCTGTTTCATTTGGTCTTCTGTGTCCTTGTGTGAAGAGTCTGTGCATCTGCCTAGTCCATCATCTTGCCAGAAGTCTCCTTTTTTTGACAGGTGAAATTCACACACAGTAAACAGCTTGAAAGTGTACATATCAATGAGTTATAACCAATGTGCATATCTGGAGTCCTAATGTGGCAAATGTTGGATGAGCACTGGACAGCTACACATAAGGTCAGTGGTTCAGACTCACCAGTTGCTCCTCAGACACCCTCTACGAGATTGCTGTGAGTTGGAACCAACTTGCCAGCACTTAACAACAACAATCATGACTTGATTTTGATCCCTTTTATATCTCTTAACAAGGAGCCCCAGTAGCAAAGTGGGTTAAGCATCAGGCTGCTAACCTAAAGGTTGGCAGTTCGAACCCACCAGCAATTTCATGATCAAAAGATGAGACTGTCTGCTTCTGTAAAGATTTAGAGTCCCAGAAACCCTATGGGAAGATCTATTCTGCCCCATTGGGTTGCTATGAATCAGAATCAACACAGAGGTAACCAGAGATAATAATTTACAACACTTATCAGCCTCTGGCTTGTGTAGTTAATGCAACAGTTGCTACTGAAATGTTGGAGATTTGGGTTCATGCAAAGGTACCTTGGAAGAAAAATCTGGCAACTCACTTTCAAAAAAATCAGCCAGTGAAAAGCCTCTGGAACACAGTTGTACTCTAATACATTTGGGGTCTCTATCAATTAGTCCACTTGACATCAGCTGGTTTAATATCACTCAATGCTTGAGGTTCTTGGGTATCCGGATTGTACTCGATTACTAACCTAAAGGTGGCTGGTTCACCAGTCAGTGGCATCACAGAAGAAAGACCAGGTGAGCTGTGTTCCCAAAGATTACAGCTGGAAAACACCGTGGGGCACAATTCTATTCTGTAACAAATGAGGTCACCATGAGTAAATGCCTGTTACTTTCTTGTTTACTTGTCTGTCTATTGCCCACTCTGTCCCACCCATCACCACTGCATACTCCCATCAAATGTATGATCCTCCAGAGTAGGAACTAGGACTCATTAGTCATGTACCACCTTCTCCCAGCTCTCAGGAAAAGTGCCAAGTCTATGAAAGACAGTAGCCAACAGGGATGGAGAAAGGAAGAAGAAAGTAGACAGTGGAAAATGAGAAGAAGATGCTACATGAAGAATCAGGTATGAATGTGGGAATATCTCAGTTACCTAGAGCAGCAATGACAGAAATATCATAATAGGGTGGAAGAAATTTATTTTCTACCAGTTTAGGAGGCTAAAAGTCTCAACTTAGACCAGCTCTATGGGAAGGCATTTATTTCTCTGTCAGCTCCGGGGAAGGCCCTTGTCTTTTTTCAGATCTATAGATACAGGGGTTCCTTGGCTGGTGATCTTTATGTGGGATGGCATCGGTCTCCCCATAACTGTCCTCTTCTTCCTTGCTTAATCTGCTCCTTCTATATCTCAAGAGAGACCACTCAAGACACAGTCTACAAGCAAACTGTCCCATGAATGTATCTAATGGGATTAGAGCCCAGGGATAGTAGGATATATTCTGGAGAAAACATAATTCAATCCATAACAAGGGGACTGGGTGACCCTTTGGCTGTTCTCAGGAAGAAAGTAGCTGGACCCCTCCAATCAGGGGGCCGACCCATTCTACGTTCTGGAATGTTATTGTTGTTGTTAAGTGCCGTCGAGTCGGTTCCGACCCATAGCGACCCTGAACAGGGTTTCCAAGGCTGTAAATCTTTACGGGAGCAGAAAGCCTCATCTTTCTCCCGCGGAGCAGCTGGTAGTTTCGAACTGCTGACCTTGCGGTTTACAGCCTGATTCGTAACCACTACGCTACCAGAGCGCCTTAAATTCTGGAATGGAATGAGTAACTCTATGGCATTTCCAAAGGGGAAGCAGAATTAGAGTCCTTGACCCAGAAGAGCTCACTATGATTTCCTGGGGTATGTGATGAGTAGGGGCCACTTCCTGCCACCCCCCCCCCAGTTGGGACCCAGTGGTTGGGCCCTTTGTGAGTCAGCTAAGGGTGAACAGGGGACTATGAGGGGGGTCTGCTGTCAGAGTAAGCAGCCCCTGGGAGCAGGGCCCACACACACGCCATGGCGAGCGTGGTGGTGAAGACAATCTGGCAGTCCAAAGAGATCCATGAGGCCGGGGATCCCCCCGCAGGGGTCGAGAGCTGCTCCCAGCTGGTCCCGGAGGCCCCTGGGGGGGTAATAAGCCCAGCCAAGGGGATCACGAAGAAAAAGAAGGCTGTGTCGTTCCACGGGTGGGTGTGTCACACACTGTCAGGGATGGTCCTAGTGCCCAGCACTGCCCCCAACAGAGCAGGAGTCCCACAGTGGGTGATGGAGGAATGGGAGGGGGAAGCAGAGGAGCAGGCAAGAGAGCAGTGGGGAAGGGGGAGGAGTAGTGTGGGAGGTAAAGTGGAAGAAAGGAGTGGAGATGGAGGGAGGGAGAGAGAAGCCAGGAGAAGGAGACAGGAACTGGAGAAAGAAGAAGAAAGCAGGCAGGTGAAGAAGGGCAAGGCAGTAGGGATGGTGGAAGAAGAAGAAAGGCAGTGAGGAAGCAGAAAAGAAAGAAAAAAGGGCCAGCAGGGATGTAGAAAGAAGACAAAAGTAGGCAGTGGGGATGGAGAAAGAAGAAAGGAGGAAGACACTAGGCAGTGTGTTGGAGAAGGAAGAAGGAAAGAGACAGCAGGGATAGAAAACAAACACACAAGCATCAGAGAAGAAAGTACAGGCTAGGAAAGAAGATGGAAATCAAGTTGGAGTCAGAGGGAGTAGGTTCTGTGGAAACGGGCCATGCCCTGGGGCTGAACCCCCACTTTCTGCTGGTTTCTCCTGCCCAGGGTGGACCCCCGCATGTCCCATGAACCTATGCACTGGTGCCTGAACCTCAAACGGTCCTCAGCCTGCACTAATGTGTCACTGCTCAACCTGGCTGCCATGGAGACCACAGACTCCTCAGGCACAGACTCTACCACAGACGACAGCATTGGCCAGCCCGCACTGCCTGGGCCCCCCGCTCCCCCTAATCCACCCTGGGCTCCAGATGACCCAGACATCAAGGAAATACTGGTGAGGGACCCCCGGCTGGGGAAGACAGGAGTCCTCACTCTGGTGGTAGGCAAATATATTGAGGATGGGGTGTGTCTTCTTGATTTGGAATGAGAAGGTTCTGGTCATCCTTCAACGCCCAGAGGAGCAGACTCCTCCCTCTACCATTAGATAGACATTCTGGGTGCATCATGCCTAGCCTAGGAGTTCATTTCATTCTGTTATTTGCACATATCCTGGCCAAGGCTGGCGTCACCTACAGGACCCCTTGGGGAGATCACAGTCTGGTGGGGGGCAGCAGACACAACCTGAGATGATATATGTCATAATGAAGGTGGCACTGGGGGTGGGGAGGGTCCTACAGATGGGCCCCTCAAGCCAGGCTGAGGGTATCAGGAAAGGCTTCCTGGAGGAGGCTGTGTCAGAACTGGGCCTTGAAGGATGAGTAGGAGCTCTCTAGGTAAAACTGGGAGGTCAGCAAGAGTTAGAGGAATTCAGGGGATTCCCTGATAGAGCATGAAGCTCTTCAGCTTGGTGCCAGAGCTTCTCCTCTCTTCTCTTCCCCCACCCAATGCATCCCCTGGGCCAGACCCTGAACTGAACCTGGAGTCAGACCTCAACCCTGAGACTCACACTTACAGTAGCCATGGTGATAACAATGCTCGCTAGCATCTACCAAGTAGATTCCTCATTCCTGGAAGTCTCAGTTGCCTCACCTGTAAATTGGAAACTTGTATATTTGATCTTCCAATAAGTATTTTCTAAACTCTTACAAAGTGCCAGGAACAGGAAACATGGCAAAGAGCAAAAGGGAATTCTGTGAGTTGAAATTGACTCAGTGGCAGTAGGTTTACCATTGATCATAAGGAATCAAGTACCAGCTTCTGCTAGGCACTAAATGAAGTGTTGGCGATTGTTGTTGTTGTTGTTGTTTATTGATCCCATTTTACAGATGAAGACAGTGAGGGCAAGAAAGGTTAAATTGCTTACCTAAGGACACTACAGCGTGTACCTGGGGGAGCTAGATTTAGGAGTCCAGCAGTGGGTGGGAGACAACCTGAGCCAGTGAGGGCAGTAGAGATCCCTGTGGGAGCCCCCAAGAAGAAAGTATTGGCCCAACCAGCTGTGGTCATGGAACTTTCCAGAAAAGGCAACACACAAGCTAGATTTTGAAGATAAGGTATTCTCCAGGCAGAAGACCGAGACGGGTGTTCCAGTTGTAACAACATGAGCAAATGAAGAGGCTGAAGGGAGAGGAAGGAGATGAGGGATGGGTAGGGGGATGGGAGGTGGAGGTGGGGAAACACAGGTCACACAGGCCAAAAACAAATATGGGCATTCTTCTGAGGGTATCGATGGGGAGCCAGTGTGGGTTTATGAAGAGAGGAAGCAGTTTGGGATTTTGGCTCCTGCATTAAGTTTCCTAAGAGTTTCACATACTTTGGACGTGGTATCAGGAGAGACGAGTCCCTGGAGGTTTGGTAGAGGGTCAGTGGCAAAAAGAAAAAAAAAAAGGCAGCTCCTCAATGAGATGAATGGACACGGTGGCTAAAACAATGCACTCAAATATGGCACTGATTATAAGGATGTTTCATTCTGTTGTAGATAGGGTCTGTGAGCAGAAACGGACTCAACAACATGATTTTCCTAGAGATGCCATAATAGCATTGTTGTTAGGGGCTGACTCTCTGTGACCCTACACACAACAGAAGGAAGGACTATCTGGTCCTGCACCATCCTCATGATCGCTCTTTTGTTTGAACCCCATTATTGGTCCCCGTGATGTCAGTCCATCTCATTGGGGATCTTTCTCTTTTTTGCTGATCCTATGTTACCAATCATGATGTCCTTCTCCAGGGACATGTAGTTTTGGAGACTAGAAGTCCAAATTCAAGGTATCAATCGCAGAACCAGACTCTCTAAAGACTCTCGGGAATGTTCCTTTCCTCTCTCTCTCAGCTCTGGCAACCCCGTGCATTCCTTGCAGAAACATCTTTACATATGTCTTTTCTCTCTTCTCCTCAATAAGGACTCCACTCAGATTGGATTAGGGACTACCCTACAAAGGGGCTTCAAAAAGTCATGGAAAAATGGAATGAAAAGATAATGGGATTTCCCCACGAACTTTTGAAGCCCCTTGCATGTTAACTGATATCATCTGCAAAGACCCCGTTTCAAAAAAAATAAAACAACTCTCTTGCCATCAAATTGATTCCAACTCATTGTTACTCTATAGGACAGAATATAGAACTGCCCCAGAGTCCAGCCGCTCCTCAGAAACCCTATGCAAGGGTCACTATGAGTTGGAACCGACTCAGCAGGACTTAACAACAACTTAGCCTTTCTAAAGCTGTTGCAGATTGCCACCTATCTCTCTCAGAGAATGGTTGATGGGTTCAAATCACTGACCTTTCTTTCGCCTAGCAGCTGAGCTCTTAACCACTGTGGCTTAATGGCAAACAGGTGCCACCAAGATATGAACTGGGCTCTCTGGAAGGTCCAGAAAGGCCAGTCAGTGATTTGAACCCACTTCTTGAGAGACAGACACAGCTATTTGCTTCTATAAAGATTCAAAGCAAACAAAATCTTGAGATTATAATCTTGGAAAATATATGGAGCAATTCGACTCTGTCCTATAGGTCTCTGTGAGGCAGAATTGACTGAATACTGGATAAGGAGTGTATTTCCAAAATTACATTCAAAGGTACCAGGAGTTAGGACTTTGGGGGACAAGATTCAACCCCTAACCTCTCCCATCTACTGAGCAACTACTATGTGCCAGGCTCAGCGCTAAGTCCCTCATGGTGAGGATCTCATTTTCTTAAAACAAATGTGAAGGAAAGGGCATTATTACCCAGTGTAAAGATGAAAAACAAAAGACTAACAACAGAAGTACAGGGGCCAGGATAAGCAGGCTAAATGCATTTTATACCAAAGCAAAAGTTTTTTTCTTTTCCTCATGGGGCTGTAGGATCAGCACCTGACTGTGAACCACAAGGTCAGTGGTTCAAACCCAGCAACTGCTCCTCAGAAACCCTATACAGGGTCGCTGTGAGTCGGAATTGATGAGAAGGCAATTAATAACAACAAATGGCTTTGAGAACTTTAGGAGGGAAGAGACTGGAAATGGGTCCAAATGTCGAGAAGGAACCAGAGCTGAGAGAGACAAGGGTGGAAGAGACGGCCTGAGATACTTCCCTCTCTATCCTAGAACACCCTAATCCTGTTGTGGCACCAGATTGGCCGTTAAACTCACTAGCCGCTGCTCATAAAACTTACATTGATGATGTTACGTGCCGTCGAGTTGTTTCCGACCCATAGCTACCCTGTCTAGGATTTCCGAGGAGCGACTGGTGAACTTGAACCCCCAACCTTGCAGTTCAAACTGACTTTGCAGTCCAGCTCATTAACGCATATCGCCACACCAGGACCCTCAGAAACCCTATACTGAGTTACTCTGAGTTGGAACCCACTCTATGGCACTTAACAAGAACCCTGAACCAGCCTTGCCCCCACAAGAGGAACACCTCCTCCCCTGGCACATGTCTCTCCCACCCCACTGGAATTGGCCTCCCACCAGAGCTATTTCTGATCACATCCCCAGTGGGTCTTGACGCCCAAGAAAGCGCCCAGGGCAGCGGGGAGCAAGGCCTGACTCAACCAAGAACTTGCTTCCGGGTTGATGGGGGTGGTGGGAGGGAGGGAATGAGGGGGTGAGGACAGACAGCCACAGGCTCCCTCTCTGTGAGACAGAAAAAGTAATGAAAAGTAATGATTGCCAAGCCATGCCCTCGAGGCCTAAGGGCCTTGGGGCCTCTGAGCTAGGAAGAGGTGGACTTCAGGGACAGACTCCAGCCTCAGCACCAAATTGCATCGCGGGAGACCCAGAAAGGGCTAAGATAGAGAAACCCAGAGAGAGGCGAGACAGATTCAGAAATGGAGCAGAGGTCAGAGACCCAGAAAGAGGTGATGAGGGACTCAGAGGCAGAGGGACAGAGATGCAGAAAGAAAGGGACAGAGATTCAGAAAGGGTGAGGGTGAGTCAGAGACTCAGAAAGAAGAGGAACAGAGACCGAGAGATAAAAGGAGACAGAGATGCAGAGAGGGAGAGATTCAGACAGAATCAGAGAGAGAGACAGAGACTCAGAAAGGGGGGAGTCAGAGACCCAGAGAGAGAGGCAGACAGAGATGCAGAGTGAGGACAGAGACCCAGGGAAATGAAAAACCTGGCTGAGAAGTCACAGTTTCCTGACAGAAATTGGGAGAAGTGTGAAGCTGACTTCACTGTGGTTCCTGTTAAGCTCTGACATCTTTGTATCACCTAACGATGCAACTGAGGTCAGAGGAGGTAGGTAGCTTGCTTTCCAGAGGGTTTTGCAGAGAACAATCAAAGGCCAGGTCTTCAGACCCCCAACTGGGGCTCATCCAACAGCCTGCAGATTTCTCTGAGGCTGCTGTGAGGATCCAAGTTGCGAAGGCCCTTCAGGGAAACCACCATCTTGTTATAATTCTTAATTGTTGTTGTTAAGGGAATCCTGGTATGGTGCAGCAGGATAATGTACTGGACCACAAGGTCAGTTTGAACCACAAAGTCAGCGGTTCAAACCTACCAGCCACTCCTCGGAAACCCTAAACAGGGTCGCCATGGGTCAGAATAGACTTGACGGTACTTAACAACAACAACATTGTTGTTAAGTGCCATTGAATCAATTCCAACTCATATCCACCTTGTATAGGGTTTCTGAGGGGTGGCTGGTGAGTTTGAAACACCGACCTTGTGGTCTATTGCTGATCCTATAGTGCTATCCCAGGACTCCTGTTTTTAACTAGGCTGACACCAATCTTTAGCTTGTTGGAGAAATGGCTATTGAAATTCTTTGCCCCATTTTTTTTTTTTTTTTAAAGACAGCAGAAGAGATGCATTACATGTATTACACTCAGCCACTACTGAGATCAGAAATCGTCCAGAATGTCATAGATCCGACTGGTTTGGTATGCTCAAGGTGGGAATCTCAGCGGTG